CTCACCTGTTTCCCCTTGTGTTTCCTCCAGATGTTTCTTGTTTGTCCTCATTAGTTTGCCTTTATATTCTGTGTCTTGTGTTCAGTCTGCGTTGGATCATTGTTCTGTCAACCCTGACTGTCTTATATCTCCATGTTTCCTGAACCTTTTGACCCAACCACGTGAGTTTTTCTGCTGCACTGACAGCCCTTTTGATTTATATTAAAGACCTTGTTTTTGAGTTTTTTTTAACCTGCCTGCGCCCTGGGTTATTTGCCTGACATAATGATCCGACCAAGCGCCCAGCCTGCAGGTACAGGTTTTTTTTTAGCCTGCCTTTTTACAAGGCAGATAATTTTGTTTCTTCACTGCCTCGACCCCACACGACTGGTTTTTCCTTACCGGCTTCTGAAGAACCAGTCCCGTCTCTGCCGGTGTGGGTGGAAGAAGTGACGAGCCCTCAGATCGCCGGTTCGCTGACGATGCTCCGGTGATCCTCCCGACTGGCAGATAAGCAGTTCATGTGCCGTAATATCGAGGACGTCATGTCAAGGCTTCCCGATCTGCAGTTCCTGCCTGGCCACCGGAGGGTCAGTGATTACGCTCGGCGGGTCTTGGCTGAGGGTTTCCATGCCCACCCTCCCACCCCTCCTGTTGTTCCAGTGCTGGCTCCGACGTTTCCTGGACCTTCGATGTCCGAACTAGTTGTTCCGGCAACTGGCTCTTCCGAGTCTTCTGAGTCTTTTGAGCCTACTTCATATCTTGAGTATCCTGTGCATCCTGCGGTTCCAGAGTCAGTATTCCCGGTAATTTCCGAGTTGGCGTTCCCAGTGTCTCTTGAGTTGATGGTCCCGGCGTCTCCTGAGTTGGTGGTCCCGGTGTCTCCTGGGTTGGCAAGCCCCGAGTCGGCGATCCTTGAGGTTCGTGGGTCAGCTGCCRGTGTCTCCATGACATCTATGTCGGCTGCCATCGCCACCATGTCGCCTGAGTCGGCCGCCATCGCTTCTTCGTCCCCTCTGTTGCCTGTGTTTGCCATCGCCAAAGCACTGGCTCCATCAACCTCCACCAGCTCATCGCCTCCCGCCTCCTCCCTTGGCTCCACATCTGCTCCCGCCTCCTCCCTTGGCTCCACGTCTGCTCCCGTCTCTTCCCTTGGCTCCACGTCTGCTCTTGACTCCTCCCTTGGCTCCTCGTCTGCTCCTGCCTCATCCCTTGGCTCCATGTCTGCTCCCGCCTCCTCCCTTGGCTCCACGTCTGCTCCCGTCTCTTCCCTTGGCTCCACGTCTGCT